TGAATTGGTTTTCTTTGGATAATTGTTTCTTGATATCTCCTTGATTGACTGTCTGTGTGTGTTTAAATTCTAGAATGGGACGAACACATCGGTAGATTAAATAGATGCATCTATAGTTCGCGCCATTCGACCCTCTGGCAGTGCACAGTTTAAATATTGTTGGATCGGGTCGTACGTCCTCGGCATGATTTACGCATGCTTGTATTGTTTGTCTTGGGATTTATAGATGTTGATATTTTCTCTCCGTGACTTGAGAATAAATGTATAAATGATTAAAAGGAATTTGGGAATTTCCTATAAAAGAAAGAATAGTTTACTTGCTTTATTTTTATTGAATTACAATCCTGTTATGAAAATCATCGATTTATTATATTGTGGACGTATCATTATTGGACCATTAGTAAGTTTCGAAGTCGACCTCTCGTCTCTAATTCTTCGAGATTAGACGGGATACTCATTGGGTACACGTTATTTTCGTACTCATACTACACTTGATGTGCATTTTTGTTGCACAGGTTCATATGTTGATAATGGCTTAGTGGCATAGCGGCAGGGTTGACACAGAGACTTAGGCGAGCTATATTTTTTGGGACGACCCGCAGCCAATAGAGTCCCCTTCAGAGTATTTTACTGTGTTTTCATTTCTGTCCACTAAGTATTCTGTATAGTTACTGTATTTTATTTCATTCCCTAGTAAATGCTCATGCATTTGTGACACTGGTTTCTGGGATGGTTATGGGGTATCTTGTATTAACTTCTTAACATTCATATTTGATTTGAAATGACTATCTTTTACTAGTGAAATTGAAGGAAAATCATAGTTTTTAAAATTATTAAAACGAGAATTAAATATTTTGGTTGGCTTTCCTAACAGCGGTGTCCGACGCCATCACGACCCTTAGTGGATTTTGGGTCGTGATAGACTCAGCATGTTTATGAAATGATATCCCCCTTCAGTATACCCCAATGTGACTCTTCCTTACTTATGTTTCTCTGATTTCTGGCATGAACCGTTCTGTGCAAAGTAGTTGGCTATCCTTAAGTTACCTGATTCTGTGTTAATTCTGAAGTTCCTTAACCCTTTAGCATATTGCTGATTCTGTACTTAAGTGCTCCTGCAAGTATTTGTTTACCTATATGACCTATGTGTCCCAAATCCCATTACCCTTATTTATTGGTTGCTGAACCTACCTTGGTTCTATGTTCTTTGGTTATGTATGAACCTGTTTTGGGGGCTGTGTTTGGACTGTTGCTTATTACTCTACTCTCTTTTCAAAACTATCTTATTGAATAACTCCCTCTGTTGTTTTACAAAACTATTTCAAACAAGTCTCTTTTCAAATTGTTTTCCTGCTTAAACCTTTTCAAACTATGCCAAACACTCTCACTCTACTCTTAGGTCCTTAAGTTCTGCCCCTCCAATGTGTGACTGCTTAGGGATCCCTATGAGATCCCTCTAAACTCTGATGCATTGGAGCTCGCCCTTCCACACTCTACTTAATCAACTATGATTATGAAATTTGGGTATGAGCACTGTCCGGGATCCCTTGAGGTCCTTAGGGAAATCTGACACACCCGGATTATGTGAAAGGCTGTGAGGCAATCTGGCATTGGAAATTCTGGAAATCTGGGCCTACTTTCAAGCTCCCTATAGTGTAACTTCTTATTTTTCTTATCTACTTATGTAATTCATGTAATATTGGTCTGTAATAATTTGTTGTAAACGGATATTGGAGTTGGCTAGTGAAAAAGGGAGGGTAGTCATACATGTTATCATATCAATGGGTAGAAACCATGCCTTAGGTTCACATTTCCCATATGTACATTAGAATCCATGTTTAGGACCAATACATTCCAAGCATGTCATGCATTAGATATCATGTTCTTAGGTTTACTGTTTCAACATCTCATTTGACATTATTCTATCACTTAGAAACTCTGCTTTAGGCTAAATAACAGCACTGACATAAAATTGTTTCTCCTGCACATTCTGAAATCATGTTGTAACTTTCCAGGCGTCTAGAAATCATGCTTTAAGAATTCTACATATCCTGAAATCATTCTGCATTTATATGTGTATGTTAGATACCCCTGTTTTAGGATCTCGTTCATACTCGCTCAGTCACACCTAGTTTAAACTACTGGTTATGAAAGATGTAAAAACAATGTCATATTTATCCTATTTAAGTAAAACTGGTCATAATCCCTATGTCTTTGCAACACTTAGAATAGCATGCTTGGGTAAAATAACTTCTAAACTGTTTTAATAATTCTGATAACTATTGTGCATTATCCTAAGCCTATGCAAGCCTCAGGTAATCAACCTCTATAAAATTGGAAACTGTTCTTTGTGTTTACTGCTTAACGGTTAACAGGCTTAAAATCAGTAGGCAAACTGATTAGGGCCCCTGTTTCTGAGTTATAAACCAATTTGCATGTCTCTTGTGTTCTGATACTCACCTAGATATTATGTCTTAGGATCCTGCCCTTGTATGTATTTGAGTCGTGTTGTTTACATGCATTATCTGCGGAGGTAAACTTGAGCCTCTTATCTGCTCCTTCCTGCTTTTATTTGCTAAAAATTCTATGTGTTCTTGTTTGTCGCCTTAGTATTTTCTCCTTTAAACCTTAGGGGTCTATCTAGAACTACCTGTAGGTAGAGGTCCTAACCTCCTCCAGGACCATTAAGAAGGGACGGGCAACAGCATGCAATAGAGATCGCTAACCGACACTCGCTTTAATAACCGCTAGGGGGTGGGAAGGGTAGATATGAGATATGATGACTACGCACTAATGTCACGTGTAGCCCCTCATTGAGGAGTGTTTACCCGAAATCGCGTAGGGTGATCCTGTAGGCTAACCAACCTAGGACCCTTCCTTCCCAAATTCCCTTTGCTTAAACTTTACCTTTCTATATGTATACAATTTGTTTAAGCCTTTCCTTTGTCTCATTATTTGAGTCATGTAATGTCCAAAATCTGCTCTTATTTGTAATTATGTGTTTAAAACTATTTATTTGTTAATGGACTAGTTCACAAGTATAAGTTTGGCCGAGATCCACTGTTGTGGACTGAGAGGGGTGCCTAACACCTTCCACTCGAGGTTATTTCGAGTCCTTACCCTAAATCTCTGGTAATGCAAACCAATCCAAGAGTTAATCACTTTAGGTGCTCTAACGCACCATAATCCGTTAGGTGGTGACTCTTCAAATACCCAATTCCCAAAAGGAAACGAGTTACTTCCCCCATGTAATGTCGAAACCCGGACCTTCTCTCCGCGGAAGGAAAAAAGGGGGCGCGATAGTGGGGTCGTACACTGTTGGGGATTGTGACTTAGTCCATCCCGAATGACTGTTTTACTGCGTATTTGATTGAAAACTATTTTCTATCATCATGTTTTGGGCTGAATGCCATATTTGGGCCTCGTGCCAATTGTTTTGGACCCTTAGGGGATTTTTACTACTATTCCTCACTATTTTGACTTTATACATGTACTTAGTCATGCTATATTCTACTATTTTTATAACTCAGCCATGTTTACTCTGTTTTGACATCATAAATGATATTTTGAGCTGAACATCATATTTTACTGTGCCCAAGTGTCTTTTAGAGATTTCCGACTGAGTAGGGCTGAGGGCTTGGGTTGTGAGGTTATTATGGTATCAGGCTGCACACCGTATCAGTGTTGTATTGATTTATGATTATGAGGCCGATGGCCTGAGTTGTTATGCCACGAGGTGGCTTGATATGAGGCTGAGAGCCTATTGATCATGCCACGAGATGGCTTAATATTGTGCTTGGGCCGTAAGGGGCCCCTCCCGGAGTCTATATACCCCCAGTGAGCGTGGGTACCCAGTTTGTGATGTGATATAGCCCGATGGGGCTGATGTTGTTCCATGTTATTACCCGAGGGACTGATACGAGGGATTGTGAGAAAGCCCGAGGGGCTAATTCTGTTGGTATATTGCCCGAGGGGCTGGTTTTATGTGTTTATCTTTTCTCACTGCTTTTCATTCACTCATTTAACTGTTAAAAGATGTTTTAAAGAAGCTTATACTGAACTAAGGTGTTTTTACAAATTCTCGTTGTTTTATTGCATTGTATTGGTTTTTCACTACCTCCTTGTAGCATTTTTTACATGTTTTCTTATCTCTCAGGTGCTTTTACTTTTATTATTCACTGAGTTGGCATACTCACATTACTCCTTGCACCTTGTGTGCAGATTCAGGTAGTTCTGAACCCGGTAGCGGGTGTTGATTGTCCAGTGGCAGAGTCATTGAAATTAGCAAGGTAGCTGTCCGACGTTCGCAGCACTGCTTTTCTCCCTCTTGTCTTTTGGACTGTATTTAATACATTCTTAGACTTTTGTTGTATTCAGACCTTAGATGCTCATAACTTGTGACATCCCGATGTCGAGCTTGTATATTATTTCCGCACTGTTCAATTAGACTTACATTATGAGTTGATTGATTAATTAAAAAGCTTAAAAACGAATTATTATTGATTAAATGGTTAACTCGAAAGTTGTGTCGGCTGACCTAGTTTCACGAAAGACGTCATCACGACCCGATCGGTTTTAGGGTCGTGACATAGAGTGTCATTTAGTTTGTTTATTTAATTAACGGAAAAGGTCCATTCATGCTAGTGAACTTTACAAAATTGTACACATTTGCCCGTCATTAAAAGGTGGACTCAATCCTGCCCTTGCTGTGTATAAGGTGGCTTACATATGCCATTTTCTAGATGGACCTCACCAATAAAATGTTTAGCACCAGATTTTGACATGTGTCACAATCTGATGCATTCCAGCTATACCCTAATTTGAATAACAAACTACCCGACCCAATACCCTATTTTAATAAACCCCAATCCTATTTTACACCTCACTTTCTTCTTTCAGATACTCCTCTCACCATAGCTGATGATATTTACCAATTCTCTTTAGATGATTATCTAATACCGGTCTACATTTGGCGCTGCTGCTTGTGCCTGGTTTTGGGTTTATTTTGGATGTGTGCACTTATAATAACTCCGAGGATTCTCGCTCCCTTTAACTTGTTTCTGCCCGTATTTTCTCCAGTTATAACCATCCTCAGCCGGGGCACCAACAACATTTGGATCTCCACCCACTCTTTGATCAATTTCCTCGTCTTGTGGCTCATCAAGAGGTGGAGAATGCTCCACAATACTACCAACTGTTTGAAAGTTTATTGAGTCTGGTGTGACATTACTATCTCTGACATCCTTCTCAGCAAAACAATCTAGGGAAATCAGATGATTGATGAAGTCCATTCTCGTTCTGAGTCTGCATTTGTGTAGCTTCCATACAGTGAGATAGAAGATAGTTCTGTGAATGAACTAAAACCTTAATGTTTGGAAAGCATTGCTGAGAAATATTGGACAAGATCACCTGTAACCAAGACAACAAGCAATCTCAGAAATTGGAAACGGGCAGAAAATCTGCGCAAAATGCATGTTAGTGAATGTGAGAGGAGAATTTGGGAGAAGAAAGTGTTATGTCGCGAAAGAGGTAAACTCGAAAATAAAGAAGAGAAAGAACACCAAATTTTAACGTGAAAAACGCTTCTAATCTATCTATCTATCTTTCCTTCTAATTGTAACGTGAATCAAATATATCAGTATAATGTATCATACTGTCGAATATTCCGCTAAAGTTAATGTAATTAGAGATTCCGCCGACAAGCATTCTTCTGGAGATGTTATCTAATACTATTGGGATTTTTTTTGTGAAACTTTATGAAACTTTCTCTCTCTCTCTCTTTTCTTTTCTTTTTTTTTTTAAAATTTTTTTAATTCGAATTGTATTTACAATTCAATAAGATATAAACTTATTGTAAAGGGATAAGCCAAAAACTTCTATATATTCCTTTAAGAAATCTTATAAATTAAGATTAAAATATATTTTGCAGCTTTTTCATTTTTATTACAGGTTCTTGAAGAATGGAAATGAAATCATATTTGGAGAAAGAATATATATATTCCTATAAGCAAAAATTTTGGCAATCTAATTTTCTTTTGTACAATCAAACAAATATTTGTTTAAAATATTATTGATGGTTAAGAATTAATAGTGTTGTAATATAAATTTGTAAAATTAAAATAGAAAATCCTAAAACAAAAGATAAAGACATGATGACTAAATACTTTTTTTCCCAGTTATTAATGTTTTTTTATCTTGAGATATGGCTTGTATAATCATTGAGGTTTAACAAACTTAAATTATTACGTCATAAAGAATATTAAATATTGTTGCCTTTTTTTGGTATACAAAAGATATTCGTGCAAGGCACGAACATAGAGACTAGTCTATATCTATACTATATTAAAAGCACAAAGGCCCTTAGCGAAATATCGTTCGATTTTTTTACCCTTAAAAAATTAAGTTTATATTGGACAAAGTAGTAATTTAATTATTTTTTAATATTTAGGAATAGTAATTTAACTCATCCTAAAATTTAGGGCTTCAAAATCAATTAAACATTGCGTACCAAATCCTTCCTTATTTAAGCTGTGTAATGTAATATAACAGATCTGTAAAAAAAAATTGTACGTTTCGTTAATATGTAAAAATCTTTGGATGGAACACTTTCAATTCCTAAAGTCACAGGAGTATTAGGAAACGTATCACCACTTTGGAATCCTTTTAGCTATAGGAGTCTTTTTTTTTTTTAACACTAACTGATTATATTTCTATAAATATTTTATGCAAAAGTTTCGTTAAGTATTTATATATTTTTTTAGGTTATAATCCATTATTTTCAATCCTTTTACTTAGGAGTTTTATTAATATACGTTTGGCTAAAAGAAAGGGAGGACGAGGGTATGAATCGGAAAAATGAAAAAAAACATATACCAAATTATTTCTCTTAGGTAAAAATAATTTATATATATATATATATATATATAATTTATTTCTATTACATTACATGGCCAGAAAATAGTAAATGTCGTTCGCCTTTTACCCTTTTTAACTTTTATAATGGACAAATTTGTAACTTCGGTTAGTTTCCTAATATTTAAGACTTTGAAATTAATTAAAACTTTGCATATTAAATCTTTCGTTATTAAAATAGGTAGAAAGTACTAATATTTAGGAGTTTAAAATTAATAAATAATTTACCTTATGTAAATTGTACTAATTGACAATACATCCTTTGTGCAATACGTATAAAATCAGATGACAACAATGGCGACTTCAATTAATTTCTAATTAAAAATGAAAAAATGGAGATATAAAATCACATACATTAAATTAAAATTATTTAATACAATAACGTCTAACTAAAATTATTTCAATGCATAATAATTAAATATGTATTTTAAGTATTCCTATTTAATCATATAAAGTAATTAATTCGTGTTCAATTAAGCACCTAAATTATTATTTAATATCATATTTAATTATAAAAAATTATACAAGCCTATTATCTATATTTATGTATGTCTATACTATATTAAAAGTATTAAGCCCCTATCGAAATGTCGTTCGCCTTTTTTACCCTTTAAAAGTTAATTTTATACCAGACAAAATAGTCATTTAATTATTTTTTTAATATTTAGGACTTCAAAATCAACTATTATTTTATTTAAGAAGATCCTAATATTTAGGTCTTCAAATTCAATTAAAATTTACATTATTAATTCTTTTCCTTATTTGACCAGTTTTTATAAATATTCTTTTGGAGTTTAGTACGTGGCCATTAAAATTTATTTTTTAATTCTTAGCCTCTAAAGTATATAGTAGTATTTTTTTCTCCAAATTACCAATAATTGATTACCTAAAAATATGAACTATCCATCAGCAACGTATGTTCGCTTTTTCCTGTTAAATTTTTAAGAGTTTTGATTTAATCTTAACTTTAAATTTCTAGAAGTCTGAACTAATATGGTGTTAATTTAGAAATAATTTAAGCTACAACCATACTATGTGAATTTGCAACTACAGTTAACTTTTTACATTTAAGTTAAACTAATGTATTTGGAACTCTTGAAATAACTATAAATTGGTCATTTTCCCCTCGATAATTTTGAAAAATTGGCCTCAACATTATGAACTCTTGAAATTTTAAAATTGTTATTAGAATAGTGCATTCAGAGTGAGTTTAGGATAGTATTGACTTTTAATTGATATTGAATGAGTGTGCAAAGAAGAAAATTAAGAGTTAAATCAATAAGAATCTGGATAACTATTTCACACAAGAAGAGGTTCATTTGGCTATAACTTTGATTAACTTTGAATGGAGAAATATTTTTTTGTACAATGACATTATGAGCGTAGATTTTACAAAGAGATGCTGGATGAGATACAACACTATAGCATATTCGTATCTTATATAATAAAATATTTATAATGATAAATACTATAGAACTAATTACACTAAATTCATTCGGAAAATGTTGAATTCAGCTATATATTAATCAATGTACTAATATCTTTTTCATCATTTAAATATATATTGCGTTTAGTTTTATCTCCATTGCTATTTTATTAATAATTTGTATACGTTTTATATTGATTAACGTGATGCACGCGTGCAACGCACGTACACTAAAACTAGTTATTATAAAAATACGAATATTCTATGCTAAATATTGAACGACCAAAATATCCCTAAAATATTGATCGACTTTTACGTCCTTTATTAATGTTTACCTTGAAAATGGTATTTACAATTATATTTGATTTTGTGGTTCTAAAAATACGTGATTTATTTTAATACCAGTTGTTAGGCAATAGATGCTAAGTATAAGTGAAGAAATAAGAAATGCAAACCAATAGGGTCACAAGGCTGGGCCTCGAGCTGGTTGGAGTAGGGCCTCGAGGTGTAGATGGGGCTAATAGCAATGAACAATTGATGAAGAATCAATGATAATGAGGACCTCAAAGATGGCCTTTTGCGGTTAATAATGAGCAATAAATGAAGAACAATAAATGGACAATGAATGAACAATAAAAGAATAAGCAATAAATGTGTAGAACAATTGTTTAAGTAAAGAGTAGAGAATGTTGTATTGTATTCAATGTGTTATGTGGTATAATGACCTGAATCCCTTTACAAGATGTCAAGGGTCCCCTTTATATAGGAGAGGTGAATCCCAACACAGTACATATCTAATAATGACGAAAAAGCTACTAGTACAGCTGTATAACGGCTGAGTACAGAATTGTACTATTCTTGCAGACTCTGTCAGTCCTCATTGCGTGCCCTCGAGGGTTTTCCGCCCTTCCATGATGGTCGTCGATTTTCATACTGCCTCGAGGTGCATCATGGTGAATCTTCGATGTACCCTGCCGAGGCGAATGCTTCGGGGATGGGCCTTGGACTGTGCTTTGATCCCATCAAGGTCGGGCTTGAACTGCCAAGGGAGCCTTAAAACTGTCTTCCTTTATTTTGACCGTATACAAATAGTCCCCGCATTTCTTAGAGTGATACGATAAGAAACGATCTTGACCTCGATTTTCTCGAATCTCTCGTGATGACGTCATGCTTGTGATGTAATCATTCGAAGTGACTGAAATATCCCATCGGTTCGTCTCCCTAGAAGCATTGAATATATTGCCGGTTCATTTCCCCCAAAAGTGGTGATTGCACCGCCGATCCATTTCCCCAAAAGCATCGATTGCGCCATTGATACGTTTCCCCAAAGGCATTGATTGCACCATCGGTTACGCTACTGTCTCTCTATAAATGGGGGATTGCTTGAGCCAAAACTTCACTTAGTCTTTCTTCAACAGCCTTTAGATTTCACAGTCGGTGGGCTCTTGCTCGATCATCTGAAAATAAAGATAGCCCTTAGGCTTTCACAGATAATCTCCAAGTGAAAGTCTTCTCGAACTCGGGCAGCCCGTAACTGAGCAAAAATTTGCTTTGAACTTAAAATAAACCTAAGGCGTTATAGATAGTCCCTGAGCGAGGACATACTCGAACTCGGGTGGCCCTTGGGCTAAAATAATCGAGAGAGCGTTCGCTTGAACTTGAGATGAAGATAGCCCTGAGGCCTTATTAATAGTCTCCAAGCGAAAACTGGCTCGAACTCGGAGTAAAGATAGTCCTGAGGCTTTATGAATAGTCCCCGACTAAGAACTGGCTCGAACTCGAAGTAAAGATAGCCCTGGGGCTTTATAAATAGTCTCCGAGTGAGAACTGGCTCGAACTCGAAGTAAAGATAGACCTGAGATGTCACGACCCAAAATCCACTAAGGGTCGTGATGGCGCCTCGTCGTACACCACTGTCAGGCAAGCCAACCAAAATACTTAATTAAATTCTCGTTTTAATAATTTTAAAAACTAGGATTTTCCTTCAATTTTACTAATAAAAGATAATCATTTCAAATCAAATATGAATGTTAAGAAGTTAATACAAGATACCCCATAATCATCCCAGAACTCGGTGTCACAAGTACATGAGCATTTACTAGAAAATGGAATAAAATATAGTAATTGTCCGGAATACAAAGTGACAAATGCAACTCACCTAAGTCTCCGTACCAACCATACCGCTATGCCACCAAGCCACTAGCCACACATAAACCTGTGCAACAAAAATGCACAACAAGTGTAGTATGAGTACGAAAACAACGTGTACCCAGCGAGTATCCCGTCTAATCTCGAAGAAGTAGAGACGAGAGGTCGACTTTGAAACTTGATAGTGCTCCAATAGTAATATTATTAATGCGATGAATCACTGATTTATTAAGTACAACGGTAAATTCAAATAAGTCACGAAACAGGTAAAAGTTCCTTTTTATTTAAAAGTCTCCGGATTCATAATCCATTAATTGACAATTATCTTAAGTCGGGGAGAGCAAATATCAATATCAATAAATCTCAAGGCAAGCAATACAAGCATGCGCAAATCATGTCGAGGTCGCACGACCCGAGTCAACATAAATGTAAAATGTGCACTGCCGAGAGTCGAACGACGCGAACCATAGATGTATCTATCACCCCGCTCGCGAATCATGCATACAATGCAGTCAAATTTAAATAAACAATCACCCTGCTCGCGAATCACACATGCGACGCAGGTACACATAGAAATACATGCTCAAACAGCCAATTAAGAATTTATCAGGGAATATTTATCCAAATAAAAGCCAATTCTTTTTATCGATTTAAGAAAATGAATTTTATTCCTTTTAGAAATTCATTTACCAATTCGATAGTATTTAAGCAATTCAACTGTCAATAAGATTACAGATATTCCAAGTATAGCATGTTTTTGGGTCCTAGACTACCCGGACTTACACATATTAGTAGCTACACACGGTCTCTCATCACCTTGTGCATACGTAGCCCCCACAAATAGGAACACATAACCAATTATTCCACCTATGGGGACAATTTCCTCTTACAAGGTTAGAAAGGAGACTCAACTCGCTACGAAGATTCATCGCCGGCATTCCACGCCCTTCTGAAGACTCGAATCAATGCTAAATGCTCCAAAACTAGCCAATAATTATGCAAATCCATTAATATATGTTCAATTACTCATTATAATCCAATTCATAACAATTCCTAACCCCGATTGAAAAGTTAACAAAATTGCCCCCGGGCCGTGCCCGGATTCCCAAATTTCTCGAAGATAAAGTTTACCCATGAACTCACGAACTCAAATACATGATTTTTCCCTTAATTCCATACCCAAAATCGTGGTCAAATCCCAAGAATACTAACTTTCTAGGTTTTCCTCAAACCCCAAGTTTTCCACTAATTTCCATGTTCAAATCCATATCTAAATCATGTAATTAACTCAAAACTAGCATAAATTACTTACCTCATGCTTGGTGATGAAAATGGCGCCCCAAAGTTGCTCCAAAGTCGGCTCCAATGGAAGAAATGGTGTTGAAATGAACCCAACCCCCGATTTAAAATAACCCCTCTGCCTCCAGCATATCCGCACCTGCGGTCACTCCTTCCACAGGTGCGGCCCCGCATCTACGACGAATCTGACCGCATCTGTGGTCCCTGCCCAGCCAATCCATTTTCGCTTCTGCAACTCAAGGGCCGCTTCTGTGGCTCCGCACCTGAGGCCCAAGTCTCGCAGGTGCAGTTACACCAGCAGACAACAGCTTCAGCGCTTCTTCCAAATTCCAATTCGATCCGTTAACCATCCGGAATTCACCCTAGGTCCTCGGGACCCCTACTAATCATACCAACCAATCCCAAAATACATTACGGACTTGCTCGAGGTCTCAAATCATGTTAAACAATGCTAAAATCATGAATTGACCTCCAATCCAAGCTTAATGAACTTTACAATTTCAAACTTCTTCATTTGATGCCAAAACCTATCAAATCATGTCCGATTGACCTCAAATTTTTCACACAAGTCATATTTGACATTACGAGTCGGGTCGTTACATTCTCTCCCACTTAAACATACGTTCGTCCTCGAATGTGCTGAGAACTGCGCTGGAGCTGTCTGAAATCATTGCTTAATACCTTGAGCACCTACCCGTGCTACCACAACTCAGTTGGGCACCCTAGCTCGATCAATCTGGAGATATCTTTTTTCACTTAAGCAAATAAGCCTTAGAGCCCAATTCCAACATCCGGATTTCTCTGCTAGGCCTATTCCAACATACGCTCACCGAATCAATAACTACACGTAGCACCAAAACATGACTGCATACCTTAGCTGAATTCACACCTTGCACCGCTTTACTCACAGGACCACAATAACATCCTCTAATCAATTTAGTCAAAATTCCACGAATCTGATGCTCCCATTGCACCTCATGACATACATAGGTCTTGCTCTAACTCTTAAAATACCTCCACAACGGAAGAGATGTGTAGAAATTCATAATAACTACCGAATCAACAATTCATTGGGTCTATACTCCTATCAGGAACCATTACCTCATTCTGAACCAAATAATTGTCTTTGCTCCTTAATATACTTCATATAATCAGATTGCAATGATCCTAAATCCAATGATCTCGTCTCACCCCGTACGAACTGCTCAGGCAATAAGCCACCCCGGACATGATCAAAAGTCTCATATGCTACCACAATGTGCCAATAGGCTACCAATTCCAACATGATACATAAAGGAAACGAACTCTGAAAAGGAAATCCAATTACCCCGCTCGCGAATCATACATGCGACGCGGTCAACATATTTGAACCGACATCCCGCTCGCGAATCATACATGCGACGCGGGCACACGACTAATATGAGTTTTTCTCAGAAAAATAGGAAACAAAAACACATAAAAACATATATAGGGAACTGTACTCAACATCACACTATTGCAGCGCGCAACCCAATCCAAACAACATACCCATGGCGATGTGCCACCCGATTAACACATAAAATTCACATAAGGAGTACACACCGAGCTAGATTGCTCATTACAACAAAATACCAAATATCGATCACAAGCACGCTAAGTGCATAATACCATCCCTGGGGAGACATATAGCGCTACGAGCTATGAACTCAAGCGCAACTGAGGTGCGATATACGACCTGAATCTCAAGATTCATTCCTCTCATATAACATCATCACTACGCGGAACCTCAACACATAAGAAATTCACCAAGCCATCTCACAACTCACACGACATAATTTATCATTACATGAAATAGCTGACGACGAAATAACACCCCGACTACTCTCTCATAAGGTACTGAAATGAACACATCTGGCCTGATATAGAGCACATATTCACATTTAAATCCATCCGCAGACCTCAAGCTAATTTTGATCAAATTGAACTAGGCTAATAACCTTTCAAAGGTCCACAACAACTCCCCTTTTTCTCATAACACACAAGAACAACCATCAAAACTGGAGTAATCCTCCACAATCCACAACCCAATAAACCGAGTGCCCTCCAGGCATCAATTCTCAATTTAACGACATCACCACAATCTGCATACTTGGTTTAACTCTTCAATCAATCAAGTGACTATATGCTACACTTATACAACCTTCCCGTAGGGCACGCTCCCACAACCTTCCGTAATAGATAACAGGCCTATACATCCAAACCATCGGCCGCACTAACGCTAAAAAGCGATCAATAATCCTTGACCAGGATGCAAAGCCTTTTTCACAAAAAATCGATCTCAGGTGACGCTGAAGACAATACCCACTTACTTTAAACATCAAAACTCCTTTCCTGCTCATCCGAGCTCGTGACATCCTTGTCAACACCGAACTGCAACCTTGATCCTCACTTCAAATTCCATACCACTCACTGCACCCATCATGCCAATATACGATAGAACACAATTTTCGTCATAACTCCAGGACCACTAATAGATTAACACTTCATCATATAAAAACTTTTCACTTAACTCACTTCAGGAGAACCGTAGCAATACACTGGTGAATTCTCATAACCGTAGTATATGCAAATCTCTAAGTGTGGTCTAAGCCACCATAGCCCTTTCGGGATCCGCCTACACATAACAGGCCATCACAGTAGAATACTTCTGAATAACATCAATTACGACGGCCGACGAGCCTTACACGTACCGTCACAAATCACTTGCATAACTTTATCACGCTGAAGGAACTGATCACTACCACCAATATGCCAATTCAACTATGGTTAGCCAATCTATTTTCGTCCAATTTATCCTTGATTGTCTTTGAAATAATAATAACACCATTCAACACATAGCTCACTCCGTCCGTACTCATCCCGAGTGACCTTGAATCACGAGATCATGTTGTCTCAAATCCCACGAACTATTTCATACCTCCCTTGTGCGCACATTCGCATCCTTAACTGGTATGCCCATTTTGATAATCTCTCTACGAATTCGAAGTATTTTCTCATTTTCCTCCCAAATGTTCCACTGCAAGTCAAAACATTCTGGGCATCTTCTCATAGGCTGCTACAAAGCTTGATCCTTAACCGTACCTATAGGATAGAAATCATTAGGTACCACACTTTACCTCTTTAACTCCACCAGGACCGTTGTTGAGAGCCACCCGCTCTGACTTAGCCCCGAATATAATCTACTCCATGAATCTTCTAGTACATGAATATCCTCTCGACGAAGCACCCGGCAGAATCACTTTCCTTGAAACCCGCATCTATACAAGGCATAAATCCTGAATCCTTCCCCAAGTCTTAATATGAGCCAATAAGGCCAACCATAGCACACCTTTAACAATCCCTTTGCTCAAATTACCACTTATGTTCTTTTTCCATAGCTGAAATAACCCATCAATATTCTAATAACCAGAAACCTCGCAAGTAGTTAACCATGCAACCCAATCATAGGCGGTGGGACTCCCCCACTTAGCTTGAAGCCACTATTACACACCTCTGGAATTCTCCAAGATTCTTTATCTCTTATTGACAAGACCTCGCGCAATTAAACCACAGATTCCTTGAAATCCTTCCATTAGCACTTCATGAACACCCTGAATTTCCGACCGCTAACCTGCTCACAGGGAATAACCCACCTATGGAAATCACTTTCCGACATCTTCCAACACTGCTGCACGGGGTACAATCACTGCGACATCAATAGCCCATCCTGAGTCCGAGCTCACTCTCTAGCTGCACAAGTCCATTCACCCCTCGTGGACATCAATTAGATATGCAGCAACATCCTTCCAATTCAAGGTTATATTGTATCCTTCTTTATTTCAAGCAGCTCCTTTCTGTTATATCAAATCTCCTGCCGCATAATAGCCCATGCTTCAAATTAAATCTGTAGGCCCCAATCACCAATCTCTAAAATTCCCAAATCATTCCAAACTCTCCTTAAGGTGCGTGGTCATCCTACCACAAAGCCCATATGCAACTCCGCCACTCTCCCATTTTGGCGGAACTCACCCCTTTAATCGACTACTCGACATTTGCTTTTTATACCTGACCTTCTAGAAATTTTAACCATCGCTTGACACTCCCCACATGTCCTTCCTCATCCTTTGCTGCTCAGTTGTTGCCTTAAAGAAAATCTATCTTCATAACACTTGAACCCACAAATCGCTATTAACTTTAAACCTTTTCGAAGATCATTTTCTCGAGTCGTCAACATTAGAAACACCGATTCAAACCTGAACCACCGAACCTTGTGATATCTAACATTTGTTACTCCAATATTATTTCACAATGTCTTACCCCAAAGGTGAATTGCAGAAGACCAAACACCGACGAACTTAACACATTCAATCACGGACGACGACACCACATTGCAGATGAAAATCCCATCACAGTTGAAATCACCAAGTTTTGTTACTCCATCATTCCAAATCTGGACTTCCCTAGGCCAATTGCTTTTCCTCTGCCGTAAATGAAATATCAGATCTCTGAATCGTGCACTAAGTAGGCTTCCTTTCAAATCATTCTCTGCCCTAACACATAGGCAAGTATCCTGCTATCAAGTCATTACTGTGCTATAACCAATCGTGAGCATCATAACAACCTGTGCATAGCTCCAAGCTCTTAGAAGCATAACTACCAAGACGAAATGATAGAAAAAATCCTTCTGCAAGGCGACGACAATAGCCCAATCAACTATACCGGGAGAAACATCCCGCACCATATCTGTAGTACCATTACAATTACTCAATTCTCGATTTATAACAAGCGATTTGCGTCGCGTAAGGTTGAGTAGGAAGGAAACAAAGGCATAAACCTCAAGGAATCAAATCGCACGATGAGGAATCAAGAAGAGAAATGCTTCTAACAGCCTTGTAGCCTCTCGAAGATAAGTACAGACATCTCTGTATCGATCCGCAAGACTCTACTAGACTCGCTCATGACTCGTGAGACCTAAGGGAACCTAGTGCTCTGATACCATATTGCCACGACCCAAAATCCACTAAGGGTCGTGATGGCGCCATACACCGCTGTCTGGCAAGCCAACCAAAATACTTAATTAAATTCTCGTTTTAATAATTTTGAAAACTAGGATTTTCCTAAAATTTTACTAGTAAAAGATAATCATTTCAAATCAAATATGAATGTTAAGAAGTTAATACAAGATACCCCATAGTCATCCCAGAATCTGGTGTCACAAGTGCATGAGCATTTACTAGGGAATGGAATAAAATACAGTAACTGTTCGGAATACAAAGTGGACAAAAATGAAAAATACAGTACAATACTCTGAAGGAGACTCTGCTGGCTGCGG